CTTTATATATTAGTATAGGTATAATATGTCCTTTATATATTAATTAGTATGTGTTTTCGTGCGATGCACAAGAAAAATTAGTTGTGGAGTAAAATAAATGATTATAATGAAAATTTTAAAAAAATTAGAAAAATACCAAGAGAGAGAATGAGAGAGTTAACTATTAAGTTTGTTGCATAACAGGGCTGCATCATAACTGTACCTTCTGGTGTTTCTACATATAACTCAGCACCCTGTGCAAGAATGGATCTGCCTTTTTCAAAGTCAAAGTCTAAATCATTGTTGTCTTCAAGGGGCAAGATAGGAACTCCCCCATTCAATCTGTTCTTGCATCCTGATCTTACTTTAAGTGTGGCTGCTCCTTTTAATGCTGCAGTTGGCAACAGTTTTTGGTCAACAAAGGACATAAAGCATGGTGCATGGACGCCAAACGAAATCAGAATTATGAAAAAGACATGTTTTCCCTCAATTGCATGTTTTCCCCTTTTTAAAACTTAACTCATATATTCTATAAAAACATTGAACCGTACTTCCCTTTTTAAAACTTAACTCATATATTCTAAATTATTTTCTGGTTTGGACGTTATTTGATCTCTCATATGTTTCTCTTTGTATTTGGTTGGTCCCCACCTCTTTTCTTTTAACATTGCTATCATATATTAATGTCATTGATTATTTTACCTAAATATTTTTCGTTTATCATTTCAGCAAACTGGTGATGCAAATAAGCCTGAGTTTCCTTTGGGTACAAGAGGATCATCCGGTGCCAACAACATTTAGTGTGTTTATGATTTTTTTAGGATGAAACTATATTTAGTCTATTATGGATTTTGAGTAATTATGGATTTGAAGTTGTAATTACATTTTAGTTTAAATTACTTTTATGTTACAATGGTGATTTTGAGAATGGGACGTTTTATACATGATATATATATATAGAAGAGGGGTCCTTTTACTCCAGGAGTAAGTCTACCTAGACTTACTTCATTCAATAACTCATGTTCTACATCAAATTTCAACGATCCAACCGTTCAATTTAAAGTTTTTAATGCATAAATCAAATATGCAAATTTTTAGAAAATTTGAAAATCATTTGATACTTCATTTTATTAGTTCAAATTGACGGATAATCATAAAATTATTTTATACATTGATTCGAATTAATGAAATGAAGTATCAAATGATTTTCAAATTTTCTAAAAATTTACAGATTTGATTTATGCATTAAGAACTGAGCGTGAGTGAGCTTTGTGGGGCCACCATCGGATAATACTCATAGTTTTCGCTGCAGGAGAAGGGGTAAACTGTGGTCCTTTGTTTGAGGGGAGGATTGTTGGGATGCAAGCAAAGTCCCACATCGTTTAAACAAAAGGATGGACATGGGTTTATATACACACAATTGTCTCCATTGGACATGGGTTTATATACACACAATTGTCTCCATTGGTTAAGAAGCCTTTTGGGTGATGTCTAAAAGCAAATCCGTGAGGGCTTGGGCCCAAAACGGATAATATCTCACCAATGTTGAGACATGTGTATGTGTGGTAACCCCCCTAGGTGCTCAACAAGAACTTTAAATTAAATCATTAGATCAATAAAATTTGATATACAATATGAGTTATTGAACAGAGTAAGTCTAGGTAGACTTACTCCTAAAATAAAATGATCCCTCCTCATATATATATATATATATATATTTGAGCACTTTGATAAAAGTTTGTCATGTCTTTTGTCACAATTAAAGTATTGGAAGGAAATTTACAAATAAATATTATTGACAAAAAAATATAAACACCTTAAATGGTGATATATACATTGCCATGTACAGGAGTTTCTAATTACTAATAAATTATTGTATTTAGAGGATTAGAAATAATGCAAGCAGGATAGTAATCTGAAAAAATAAATGATGCAAATAAGGGAGGTTTAAAACCTCTATAATTTAATCGCCACAAATTGAAGAGGGTAGTAACCCCCACTAAAAAATGTGGAAAAAAGGGAGCTAAATCCCCGCAATAGAATTGCTGCAAATAAAGGAGGTTTGAAACCTTTGCAAAATAGTAAGCAATTATGGAGGTTAAAACCCTCCACAAAAAACTGCCATAATATAAATCAAATATCGAAGGTCGCAATAAACCTTCCCAAAAAGTTGTGACAAACATATTTATGGAAGTTTTAAAAATCCCCGCAGATTAATTTGCAGAGGATAAAAACTCCCGCAAATTGAAATAAAAACCTTTGCAAAATAGCTTTTTTCTTGTAATTATAACTAAAATTTAAATAAAATCTACATAAAAAAAAAGTTTGAAGATTATAAAATTAAAATTCAAATATTCTTCACAATTATACTAATAATAATAAGTAGATCTAAAATTTGCATTTTAAACGTTCAATCATATAAATTTAAAGTTCAAACAATAATTGTTAAAATAAAATATTTTGATTACACATAAACTAAAATAAAAGATAATAAAGTATAATATTTAACTATTATCAGTGCAAATAAAATCAAATTTATACAAATTCACGATTAGAAATTTGTTGCTTGTTTCATATTTCAAAAACAGTTTTGTTAATATTGAAAAGAGAATAGTGCACGCTTTGATCAAGTGTTGCCTATATGTGCTTTTGGGAACGGTTTTATAATTGTTGTCAAACAAAGTGCCAACAGTTTACAAAGTTGTTGCCTATTCCATATTTCGAGAACACTTTTTTAGGCGTTGCCTAAAAACTCGTTACCTAATATAAAAAATGTTGTAGTGCTACAAAAACTGTGTCAAGCTCAGGTTGAGTGGCGTTTGGTGCTAGAGAGCATGGTGTACTTTGTCTAAGTGGCCTTGGGTGTAGATAGAGTGGTGCCTAACATTGGAAGCTTTCAACTTGATCTTCAAATCTTCTTCTTTCTTAACTTCCATGCACTTTCTCTCACTTGGCTTACCTCCCTTGCTTCCAGATCATGTTAGACAAAAAACATAAAAAGGAGGACTAAACTAATTAAAAAAAAGTTAGAGAAGAGTTGATTTAATTAATATAAATGATTGATAATTCTAAGTGAAAATTAACATCATCAACTACTCATTTATTCTTGAACTAAAAGAAGAGAATATTTATAAATTACCCTTGACATTGACTTTTAAGTAATGTGAGAATTTTATGCATACTAGAACAAATAGTAATATATATAAGGCCTGTTTGAATTAGTTTCTTTTATAAATAAAAAAAAATACACTTCTAGAAGAGAAAAATATAGGAATAAAAATTAAAATAAAATTCTTCATAAACTAAAAGTAGTATATACATAAATTAAAAATAAGATTTTGGAGAAATTAATTTGAAAGAACTCTTATAAAATAGCTTATGAATAAACTTATTTTAATTTCTGAAAATGTTTTTGAAAAATGTTGCTCGAACATACCATAACGTATTCACAAACAAGCACATGCATATTATATGCAGCCTATATATGTAGCCTTTTACCGGTAGTATTCTTATTATATATATTTTATTACATCATTCATTAAAAAAATGGATAAACTGTTTTCCTTTAATAGTGTTTTTCTTTTTCATGATTCATATCGGAATAGCATTGCCTCAAAGATTCACAATATTCTTGTCAAAAACGAAAATAAATCAATCAGTTAAGTTTTAATGTTATTCAACAGCAACAGATTGACAAGGCTTGGTGTTGGTGGAATCATTGAAATATGGAATATCGGAAAGAAGGTGGTATTATTTGATGAATGAAGCATGTTAATTGCAAAGGAAATTCTCTAACTATCACGTCCAACTAGTTATTAATTTGGACATGAAGCTAAATTTGGTGATTCTGCTGTGAATTTTGTTCTCTTGCTGCCTACTTTTTCTATTGTAGTTTTCAGGTCATTCTTTGCAAGTAAATTATAAGGATCACGGGCTGATACCAATTAATGCTGTAGACATCATAGACTTGGATTTTTGTTGGTGCCAGTGATTGTGTTGTAGGGGATGCTATCTGTTCTTGAAGTGGATGCATCAGTCATGAACATGATAATGCATGCATCTTTTAAGTACTCGTATTGTACTCCTTTTGGATAACATTTCACTGCTTTGCTAATTAAAGAAATAAAATTATTCCCTTGTCAGTTTGATTAGCACGAAAGGAATATCTTTTTCAAATAATAACAAATCACTGGACAATGACACTATCACATATATATTCCTTTTTATTTTAGTTAGAAACCTAGTTATTAAAATAAGTTATATGAAGTGATTTTTACATTTTTAATGAAGCATTATCACACTTCATCACAATTTTAGGCCAAACAAATAATTCATATTGTGGAATAATTTTGGGATATAGAAAATAAACAATAAATATTATCTGATTAAATTATTTATGAATTTTCTTAATTTTTGTTAAAACAAATACTTAATTTTAATTAAGAAAATAGTAGGCAATTAATTGATACATGTACTTCTAATGTTGTTTTGTTCTCCGCGCATCGTCCTACGTAAGTTAGAGGATCCCGATACCAACAAAACGGGAGAAAGGGACATCTGAAAAAAGCTCGTGTTATTAAACTACACAGAGAATGATCAAAAACTACGAAAAGCAGAAACGATCACTTTTCATCAATTATTACTTAATTGTTATAAAGGGAAATTTTCTTTATGTCAAAAATTAATGTCTCCCAATAAATTTGACTAGTTATCTTTAATAAAACCTTTTTCCTTAATCACATTTTTTAACAATAAGATTCGAACAAAAAATATGCATTATTACAAAAAATTTAAAATCTAGACAAAAAAAGAGGGAATATGTTAAGATTTAAAACACAATTAAAATGACTTAAGTATTGAAACTAAATCAAATATTTTTGAATTATTAGAATTGATTTAGCAATAATAAATTGCATACATGTATATATAAAAGATCTTAAGTTTGAAATCGTGTGGTAATTAATGTGAATAAAAGAAAATCTAAGTAAAATTAAAAAAAAAATGGCACTTGATAACAGCTTGAGTTTCATCAATCAAATGAATGGTAATGATAAAAAACATTATTATATGCATGCAACATTAGTCTATTTTACAATAAAAATAAACCTTTTCAGCCAAAAACATTTTCTAATTAAGAGTACATTAAAAAAGTAATTAATCCAAACATGTACGTCACGCTGAACTCTAGCTTTCTTACTTTTTCATTACTTCAGAGCCAATCAAATCCGGACTCCATGAAAGTTGTGACTGGCAGAAAATCAAAATTTGTATCATACAATGAATCACCCCAAGGGAATTGGGTGGTATCACTGGATGATTTTGGAGACAAATATCGCTTGTCAACTGTGCTAGGGTTACCATTGTCTTCAACTATCTTATTTTCATTATGACAAGATGATTCTGGCAAATCCATCTTCAGTAACTCCGAGAAGAAATTGCCATCCATCTCAAGGTCTGCCATGAAATCCAACACTGGATCCTTGTTATTCTCTGAAGAAGGAGACACAATTTTGTTATCACCAATAACATTGTTCTTGATCCCTTCATTTTGTGGAGTAATGTCCTTAGTCCACCTTGTTGCCTTAGTCTGAACAAGACACGAAACCTTATGATCTGGTGAGTAATTGGGATAGTGATGCCACTCTTTGTTTTTGAGATTTCGATCTTGTTGAACTGTGTTCAAAGTGCTTCGTGCAACACCATTTTGAAGCTTCCTTCCGATATTGGTGTTCCAATAATTCTTGATTTCATTGTCTGTTCGTCCTGGAAGCCGTCCAGCAATCAAGGACCACCTAAAATTCATACACGTACTTTTGTTATATTCTATGTATAGTACCTATAATGATTTGGTATCACTTTCAAATTAATACAATATAAGTAACATACATTCTATTCCTGTATTCATGTTTTTATAATTGGGAGAGAGAAGAAAAAGGAAATGTAAGAAACTATATATAATAAAAATATAATAACTCTATAAATTAACAATGCTGAAATATAAAGATTTTGATATACATACCTGTTTCCAAGAAGATTGTGAAGCCTGATTATAAGCTCCTCTTCATCATTAGTAATGTTGCCTCTTTTAATGCCAGGTCTTAGATAATTCAACCATCTTAGCCTACAACTCTTCCCACATCTCTTAAGACCTGCATTAAGAAACCATTGTATTAGAAAATCATTATAAGTCTAAGTGGATATAAGTTAGAAATATTTTTGTGATCTTCTCCACCAAAAATAGTTTTTTTTTTCTTTCTTTTTTTAAAAAAAAACTCAAAAAAATCTTTATCCAACAAAATCAACTGATCAATGCAAATGTGTAAGTGAATGCAATGAATTTCAATTCACCTGCTCTTTTGGGCAGGTGTCTCCATTTTCCTTCTCCATGAGTGTTAATGTATTCTGTGAGAATTTTGTCTTCCAAAGCTGTCCATGCTCCTTTGTTCAAGCCTTCCTTAGAACAACAAGGGCTCCTTCCCATCTCTTTGTGCACGTACTAGTAAATGTGACTATGTAAGTGTGGTTGATCACGAGAGCCAGTGAGATGCTAAATGTTGGCAATGCGTAGTCACGTTTGGTCTATATATAATATGCATAAATACATTGTTCTTATTAGGGAAGACACAAAAGGAAAACTAACTGGGTCTCCACCACCAATAATTTGCTAGATAAAGCATTTCCATTGAATATGAAAGATTTATAGGTTTCAAATCTGTAGGGGGCCACATTTTGCCAACGTTTTAGTGACTGAGATTATTTGAAATACAAAATAAAAGGAATTTCATATATAAATTAAATATTATGTACACCCATCTGCCATTCATAGACATCACTATCTAGCTACTTTCCATCTAACTTTCCCACGCTCCTGAAAGTTGGTTGGGCATCAAATATTGAAATTTTGAAAATAAAAAGTGAGATTGAATTTATAAAACCTAAATTTGTTTGGATTTTAAGACAATTAAAAATAATTTAACATTTCTTTTGGTAAAGAAATAAAATGATAAAAGAAGGAAATGGCCTAATCGGTTCATATTGGATATCAAACCAATACCCATGTTAGAGTACTCTTATTTTAGACCTTAAGTATTTGAAGCATTTAAAAGTATGGTAGCGTTTGATTTGGTTTCTTTCTTCTGGTTGTTTCTTTATCTCAAAAAGATGATTGATATTATAATAGTTAAAGAAGTTCTTAAGAATAAAGTAATTTTTTAATGAACAAGCTTCAATTGTATCTCTATCATGGCTGACTTTTTGGCACACCCCTTGTGCTAAGTTAGGCTACAAAATTTCAATAAAACTATTTTACTCGTGAAATAAATGAACAAAAACTTATAACATGGAATTTTATTATAACAGCTAATTAGAAAATTTTCTTCTTTTACATAGAAGTTGAAAAAGGTTGGACCAAGCACTACTAAGATTTGCTTAACAATAAATACTAAGTTTAAGTTATTTTAGTGAAAATATCTTTGTAAAAAGGTGTAATATAAATTGCTTTGAGACTGGAGTTAGAATTCGTGAATGTGTTGGACACAATGTACTTAACCAATCAATTAGTCATTGTATCTTGTTATGTCGTTAAGACAAGTTAATTTTCTTTTATTCTTCGATTTTTTATTTAATTATTTAAATTATCTTGTATATATTTTTACTTATTTACTTTTTATTATAGTTTAGCCTTTAAATCTTTTTGAAATCGATTGAAGTTAATAAAACAGATTAATTGAATTGCAACAACCTGTTAAATGTACCCCGTTTAAGACTTAGCTGAGATATATTACAGCTCGATCGTCAATCTCCTATCACTATTTTTTTTTTTTACCTATTTATAGGAATCAAACATGATACTAAGAAGGTTTATAATAACTTACTCACTCTAATCAATTGAGTTAAAATATCAACTGTCTCTAATTATTAATATCATTTTTTTATTTATCGTCTTAAGAAATTAGCATAGATAATGATGGCTTATTGATTAACTCTTTGCTCTTTTGGAAATCAAATGAGTTGCGATATTTGTATTGTTGGATTAATATTGTCTATATATTTTCTTTTCCTCAATTTTACAAGCTCCTAATAAAAAAAACAATATTACATTTTTTTATTCCTCATTATAAATATCAGTTCTTCGTTTATTAAATGGTTAGTGAAATTGTGACAACCTATTATTACAACTTTTTTCCCCCATTCTTTTTATAAAATTCAAACAAAAATAGAATATATGGGCTCTTAATATCAGTTATTTTTCTTGGTGTAAATAATGTTAAAAAGAAGACAAAATACAGTGTCCTCAGTGTAACAGCCATTGCCATGGACATTGTGTTGATCCAACCACTTGCTGAACCAGCATCCTCCGCCATACCCTAATGCAGAGGGCTGAGTCCACCCATTCTAGTCCCTTCTGTTTACACCCTCCCCTTCCCTTCCCCCAAACACCTTTTAACAATGTGCATGTGGTCAACCCTAGTGCAGCAAGCGCGTGCGCGTGTAGGGTCGAAACACTTCACTGTGATAGAAAATGACATTCCTCTCTTGTCCCTCCTCACGCCCTTCACGTTGGAGCATTCCAACAAACACTTCACCACCTTCATGCCTCTCTTCCATGTTGCATGGTGGAGTAATTCGTAAAATTAGGGTTCCCTCCAAAGCCTTTCATTTAGACAAAATTAAAAATTAAAAAATAAATAAGGGTTTGATGAGGTTCGGGAGACCGCAAAATATATAGTTAATTGGGGTCGATGGTTCTCACGAATTGTGTTTGGTCTTGCCTCCAAGGGGTTAAATGTGTTAAGTGTTAAATTTTTCAGCAGTGTATCAACTATGTCAAGTAGTAAATGACAAAAATTTAAGTATCAAATTATTATGATTCTTTAATCTAATTTTAGTACTAATTATGAGATCTCAAGAAATTAATTTTTTTAAAGAATTGCATAAAAATTTAGTAAAAAAAAAAATTTAAAATAATAATTGAAATTTAATTAATAAACACCAACATGGATTATTTTTCTAACTTTTTTCATGTAAATCCTTTCAAATTCTCATTCAATTTCATAAATTAATTAGTTAAATATTCGATAGCCCTCAAATTTACATAAATCCTAATTATTTAGACAAGAAATTATCAGTTTCTTTAGAAAAATCTCAATTTCTTAGAAAGTTTGTTAAGCAAATTGACTAATAAGACTTGCCTTATTTCTAGTAATAAGCATAATTAGCATTTTTGTCTAGATTGTAATTTTAAAAGGTTTTCCAATCTCAGATAAAATTATAAAAAACATGTAGTAGATGATCCAATGACAACAAGTATTAAGAGAAAATCCCAAAATTTAATTAAATAAAATCTTTATTGAACGAGAAAAAGGAATTACATGAGTTGTGACAACTACATCAACCTCTAACAATAGAGACTCAGTTACTTATTATAACTAAAGATTTTACACAAAAGGAATAGAAGATCTTCGAGGGATCTGTAATTACAAGATTTCTCTCACTTGTATTCTCTCCACTATAAGAAAAAGTCAAATTTCCCACGGATTATTTCCCACAGACCAAAATCCGTCGAAAATTTCCCACGGATTTAGATCCGTGGAAAATTTCCGACGGAATTTCCGACGGATTTAAATCCGTGGGAAATGTGACACCCATACTACCCCAACACATATATTGTAATAATGAAAACTTAACAAAAACAATTTTCAATTTCGGTAAAAGGGTTCACATGAGAATCTTCAAAATTGTTCTTCAATAACCACAACGATAAAAATGAAACGTGAGAGTTTACAAATGATTTTCAAAAATAATATTTACAATTCTAATTCCATATAACAATCTATGTCCTAAAGAAAATCCTCTGCCCCGATGTCACAATATCAGAGCATAACCACAACTCAACCGTTAGCATTCTAGATGTCACTCGTAGCCGGATCTTCCTCACCTAAAATATCCACAAATCGCACGGTGAGAAAAGAAAACATCTATATATATAGCACATAAGAAAACACAACATATTATCTCATTATAACTTAATATTCATAAATATTTCAACATATCATATTTCAATCAATCATACATCGTCATCACGTCATAATTCTCAATCACACCAATCATCACAAATCTTGCACTTCACACTATGCCAAGGTCACGCTACCCATTTAACAATCTCAGGTGTCACAATTAAAGTATTGGAAGGAAATTTACAAATAAATATTATTGACAAAAAAATATAAACACCTTAAATGGTGATATATACATTGCCATGTACAGGAGTTTCTAATTACTAATAAATTATTGTATTTAGAGGATTAGAAATAATGCAAGCAGGATAGTAATCTGAAAAAATAAATGATGCAAATAAGGGAGGTTTAAAACCTCTATAATTTAATCGCCACAAATTGAAGAGGGTAGTAACCCCCACTAAAAAATGTGGAAAAAAGGGAGCTAAATCCCCGCAATAGAATTGCTGCAAATAAAGGAGGTTTGAAACCTTTGCAAAATAGTAAGCAATTATGGAGGTTAAAACCCTCCACAAAAAACTGCCATAATATAAATCAAATATCGAAGGTCGCAATAAACCTTCCCAAAAAGTTGTGACAAACATATTTATGGAAGTTTTAAAAATCCCCGCAGATTAATTTGCAGAGGATAAAAACTCCCGCAAATTGAAATAAAAACCTTTGCAAAATAGCTTTTTTCTTGTAATTATAACTAAAATTTAAATAAAATCTACATAAAAAAAAAGTTTGAAGATTATAAAATTAAAATTCAAATATTCTTCACAATTATACTAATAATAATAAGTAGATCTAAAATTTGCATTTTAAACGTTCAATCATATAAATTTAAAGTTCAAACAATAATTGTTAAAATAAAATATTTTGATTACACATAAACTAAAATAAAAGATAATAAAGTATAATATTTAACTATTATCAGTGCAAATAAAATCAAATTTATACAAATTCAAGTAAAATTGAATTCATACAAGTCTAAATAAATTGAATATTAGCGGATACAGGTATTGCAAGTATGAATATTATGATACATGTACCCTCCCCATTAACATGTGGATATAAAAAGTATTTGTACCCGTTTACAATATACATTTTCTATCTATTATAGATTTTATCCATAGATACTCGCAGGTAAGGATTTTTTTGGCATTCCTAGGATTTAGGATTTTGATTTACTCCATTCAATAACTCATATTTTATAATAAATTTTAATAATACAACTATTGAATTTAAACTTCTTAATATATGTTATTGTGTGAAACACTCTTGCCGATCCTCTTCATAGCTGGTCTGCTGAGTCCAATGCGTTAACTGTATCTTCACTCCAAGTAATGGGGAGGATATATACCTACAAAGATACTCTAACGCTCAAATAAGTGTTTGGTACATAGTAATAAAAGTTACAGTATTAAATGATTATACCTGTTCCTATCCCATTATATGTATATTTATAGTAACGTATTTGAGTCTGGTAGGCCTTTTATCTTGGAATATGGGTAATTAAAGTTTCTAGTCCTTAATTTGACCTTAATATTGGTTTGACGTGACAATTACTATTCAATTTCCTTTCCTAATTTGTCTTGTTCATGAGGTGCCGAGTACCTTTTCGGTTGATCTCTTAATCAGAG